ATTGTGGTTGTTTTGATTATATCTACTTAGACTTGCAGGTTAAAAGTGATTTCTCTTTCCTCTGTTTTTCTGTAGCTGTGCTTATGAATTTAATATCTCGATTTACAGTACGTGATGTGAAGACCTTGTAAAAGCATGCGGCAGTAATGAGTTCCAGATGTCTTAACAAAGGACTGCAACTCCCCGAGGACTCCCCTCTCTGCAATACGATCACAATCAGGTCACTCTGCTACAGAGACTTCTGGGAGTGAGCGCGTGTCTCAATGCAGTATGAACGTGACCCCTGCTACTCACAGGCACAAGTGTATGTTGAGTTTTTTTATTATTATTTTTTATTACATTTTACATTTATGCATTTGGCAAATGCCTTTATTCAATGAAACCTATATTGCATTCACATTATACAGTACATTTGATCAGTTCTAGCATTCTCTGGGAATTGAACCCATGACTTTGGTGCTGTTTGCACCATGCTCTACTTGTGTGAGCAACTTTATGCATTTGCATCCTTCCATTGCAAATAATCCAATCATTATTGATACATATACTTGCATATTACATTTTAATTTGACTTAATTTTAAGTAAAATTAAGTGGGAGGGACAATTAAGCATTTAGCTGAACCTTAGCTTTAAAAGTTAACGCAATATATTATATTATAATTATTTTTTTAATGGTATTTCAGGTACACTACTGTTCACAATTTTTGGATCAGTAAGATTTTTTATTTTCTTTTGTTTCTATTATGAACAGAAATTAAGGAGAAAAAAACAGAAATTAACAGTTTTATTTGTTCAAAAGTGTCAGCAAAGACTTTTACAATGTTACAAAAAATTCTACTAAATACTGTTCTTTCTGATCTCTATTCATCAAAGAATCCTGAAAATGATCACAGTTTACACAAAAATATGAATTCATGTTTCAGCGTATAAGTTCTGAAGGATCATGTAACACTGAACACTGGAGCAATGGCTGCTGAAAATTCATCTTTGCCATCACAGGAATAAATTACATTAAAACATAATAAAATAGGGGGGGAAAAGTTATTTTAAATTGCTGTTTTACTGTATTTTGAATCAAATAAATGCAGCCTTGGTGAGCATTAGAGACTTCAAAATCTTACCAACCCAAAATCTTTGAGCGGTAGCATTTATTGAATTCGATTTTTGGATTCAAGAAAAAGAAACCGATTGAAATCAGATCTGCAGAGCTCCGCTGATTCCCTGATGGTTGTTTCATCAGTATCTCTTTCCCTTTGACTTCAGAATGTTTTTATCTGAGGTTTTGTCGTTTAACTTCACAGTACTGAACGTTAGAATAGAGCGAATGATCCATCTGTCACCAGCTCCCAAGTGATGCATGGAGCAAAGATGACGTCGCTCAGGAACCAGAATAAAAACAACCAAATAAAAATGTCAAGGCAGCAGTGGTGAATGAGAAAGAGGAGACAGAATGAAGTCTCTCTCTCTCTCTCTCTCTCTCTCTCTCTCTCTCTCTCTTT